CATCATTCTAGGAAGCTCTCCAGTGTCCATTCAATTCAGAACTCCACACTTCCCTCCCCAGAGGCACCTACTGAGCTATTCTACCTTCAATGCTTAGTTTGTGCTGTTCTTAAGCTTCATAAAATAGAATCAAGTAGTATGGTCTATTTTGTATCTGGATAATTTTGTATAACATATCATTTGCAAGGTTTGTTCATATTGTTGCCAGTGTTATTGTCCGTTTATTGCTGTGTAATATTTTATTGGATGAACATGCCAGTTTTCTGTCCATTCTTCTGTTTATGGACATTTGGATTTCCAATATTTTGGCTAGAACAACCTTGTTCAAATCAAACACACACACATTTTTCAATGGCTATGTAGTTTGTCCATTTGTTGAAGAAACTTGATTCATTCAACCAGTATCCTATGGATGGATGAGTATTTAGGTTGTTTATAAGAATCTGTTTCTTTAGGTAATATATATAATATGCATATATTAAATTTATAACAAATTGCAGTTTTCCCATGTGACCATCTCATTTTTACTATCACTCAGAATATATGAGACTTCCAGTACCACAGCTTTGCCACCATTTAGGCTGCTGGCTTTTACAAATTTGTTATAAACGGGTAATGCATTAAGTGAAAGTGGTAGTCACTCAATAGTGTCCAACTCTTTGCAACCCCGTGGACTAAAGCCCACCAGGTTCCTCTGTCCATGGAATGAATTCTCCAGGCAAGAATACTGGAGTGGGTTGCCATTTCCTTCTCCAGGTGATCTTCTTGACTCAGGGATTGAACCCAGGTCTCCGGCATTGCAGGCAGATTTTTCATTGTCTGAGCCACCAGGAAAGCCCAACACTTTAATTCTATATTACTATATTTTTATATGCAGCCTGTGTGGAGATAATGATAAACTTTTTCTTTTTAGATCTCTTAATATGGTATATTACAGTAATTGGTTTTCTAATATGGAACCACTCTGGATAATTTTGGAATAAACTAAATTTAAACATAGTGTATTATTTTTTAAACTTATTTTTAATTGGAAGATAATTCCTTTACAATGTTGTGTTGGTTGCTGTACAGCTATCTAATAATTTTAATATGCTGTTGAATTCTATTTTCTGGGATTTTTAGGATTTTAAAATCAGCCTCATATGTGAAATTAGCTTATAATTTTCTGTTTTTTTTTTTCTTCTATCTTCATCAAGTTTAGGTATCAATTTTATGCTCTCTTTATAAAAAGACTTAGGAAATTCTTTTTCTTCTTTCTCCCCCTAGCCTCTGGACTAACTTATGAAGTATTGTGACTACCAGCTTCTTTGGAAGTTTGATAAAATTTCCATGCAAAACCATCTGGACCTGGTGATATTTTATGAGATGGTTCTTTGATTTCTTTGTCCATTTCTTCTATGAAAATTGGTTTATTTAAGCTCTTATATCTGTACTAGTGTCAATTTTTACAAATTACATTTTCTTTTCAATTTTATCCATCTTTTCTAGGTTTTCAAATATATTTTATGTTAATATATCATAGACATTCTCAACAGTCTAACATTTGTTTCAATTTCATCTGTTTCAATGGTTGTTTCCCAATTCATTTTTATATATTGCTGTTTTCACTTATTTCTTATTTGTTTGCAGTAATTTCTAATTTGTTGTAGTAATTCTTGTATATATTGCTAGATTTGATTCATCAATGTTTTGTATAGAATTTTATTTACCTATGTCCATGAGTCAGATTGATCTGTTGTGTTCTGTTTCTATAAAATCTTCATCAAATTTTTCATCAAGGTTATCCTGGTCTCATAAAGTGACCTGGAAAATATTTTTTATTTGCTACTTACTTTGAAGAACTTAGGTAATATTGGTGTTTGTCTTCCTTAAATGTTTAGAAGAATTCACCTGTTAAGCCATCTGGGCCTAGAGTTCTTTTCTGGAAAACTTTTTAGAATAACAGATTCAATTTCCACCCATAACAGAGGACAATTAAGATTTTCTTCTGATTTATGTCTATTTAAGTAACATTTTTCAAAGGAATTTGTTCATTTTATTCAATTGTCAAATTTACCAGGCATATAACTTTTATGTGCCATATATTTATTATTCTTTTATTGTTTGAGAGCTCTTTAGAAAGGCCCACTTTCATTATAGATATTTGTAATTTTTCCTCCTTTTTTTTTTTTTTTTTGCCTAGTCTTGCTAGGGGTTTATTAATTTTATTAATCTAGTCAAAGAACTAGGTTCGGCTTTGCTAATTTTTAGTGCCAAATTTTCTCCATTTTATTATTTTCTCTTATATTTTTTATTTTTATTTTTTTTCATTTATTTTTATTAGTTGGAGGCTAATTACTTTACAATATTGTAGTGGTTTTTGTCATACATTGACATGAATCAGCCATGGATTTACATGTATTCCCCATCCTGATCCCCCCCCCATTTTCTCTTATATTTTTTAAAATAATTCTTTTACATTTTGAAATTTGCTGTCCTTTTTTCCTTCAACTTCTTGAGGTTAAAAACTTAGGCTATTGATTAAAAAAAAAAAAACCTTAGGCTATTGATTTTCAAATTTTCTTCTTTTCTAACAAATACATTTAAAGCTATATTTTATTCCTAAATATTGTTTTATTTATATCAATTATTTGTATTTATTGTGTTTTCATTATAATAGGATGCAAAAGTATTTTTTGATTTCTTTTATGATGTCTTTGATCCATGGTTTATTTAGAAGTGATTGCCCAGTTTCAAGTGGTTGTAAATTTTTAAGCTATCTTTTGTTTTTGATTTCTAGTTTAATTTCACTATGATCTGAATGATTCCAAACTTAGAAATTTGTACAATTATTTGTATAACTAAGGTTTTCTTTGTGGCCAACTATATGGTCAATTTTTGTGACTTTTTCATTGCATTTTGGAGAATGGGTATCCTCCTTCATCAGAATTTATAGTTCAGTTTAGGCCTATGAGATCTATCTTATTGATTATGCTATTTAGGTCTCTGTTGTTTTCCTGACTCTATCTTGTGTTAAGGGAAAAGAGTTTAGATTTCCTTTTATCAGTTTATCTCTATTGCTTCTTGAATCTCATGTAGCTTCTGCTTTATGAAAGTGGTTGGTGTGTTATTGGCTGCATAAATATTGACAGCTGTTATAGGTCGTCATTACGATTCAGAACACTTGGCATTTTAAAGCGTCCTTCTTTTCCTTAGTAATTTTTTGCTTGAGTTTTAACTTTTGGTGTCAAGAGTGCAACCGCATCAGATTGACAAGTTGTTCACCATAAACATACACAATGTTATGTGATTATTATCTCTATGTAATACAAGAGAGAAAGAGAGTTGGCAACATTGTCTGTATACAGAAAAAAAATACCCCTAAAATGACAATGAGCACCAGACTGGCCCAAAATACTGGACATTGCAGGACAGGGAGATAAAAGTACAAGGTATGATAGACAAACTTAAATGTCTGCAGGTGCCAGACAAATAAGATATAAAAATAAAGTGGGCCAGGGAAAGTGGCTACTTATGCATATTACCTGAATGTAAATGTGTAACATACACAGATGTGTGTGTGTGTGTGTGTGTAGGGGGCACAATAGTGAGTTGAAAATCATGTGACCTTTTAGAAGGAGGCAACTGGTACACATCTTTAGAAGAGATTTGGTTTGTGGGTCTAATATTGCCTGATGACTTAATTTTTTAAGAAATATGAGAACTCAACATTTTAATATAAAATACCTTGGTTTTTTGATGTTGGCTGAAAACATTAAAGTACTGTGCAGCAATTTAAACCATGAAACCATATCTGTGCATCAGATTTGGTTTATGGCTTACCAATTTAGGACGCAGGGATATTTGGAAAGAGTGGGACCCTAAAGAAGACAGAAGACAGACATTGATGAAGAAGCTTGAAATTTATTTAGTCTATCTTTTATATACTGAAAGCTGAGCATTTTTATGACAAAAGTTTCAAGAAGAAAATTCTCTTTCCCGTTTCACAACTGTGGCTACCAGTCCTTCCCCTTATTATAATGCAAATATGTTGTGATTGGAGTGATTTATATATACAGATTATATCACAGAAAAATAATTTCATTGCTAAGCAGGTTAGCAGAAGAAAAGAAAGAGAATTCTGAATTATCATATTTTAAAGCTGATATTTTAGCATTATTTTGACAATGGTGTATTTGATTTATAATCTTTTGGTTATACAATATTAAAAGAAAATTTATTTATTTGCATGCAAGCAATATGGCTTTAGAATACAGCTGTTAAATTTACAGAACTTAAAATTTCAAACATCCCACATGGCTGGCAGGTGATATTGTGAAGATGATCTTGATTAATGAATGATACACTTATTTCCTAGAAATTAAAAAAAAAGAGAGATATGATTATTTAACATAGTATAATACATAGATGATAGTTAATTTAGCCAGAAAATGTTTCAATGATTTATTTTGATAAAGGCTGTTCATCTTCTCATTTTATGCATCAATTTGTGTCTTGAACTCTTCAAATATTTACCTTCAAAGATGGCTTATCCTAACTTGGCCCTAGCGAGAAATATAAAGTGTACAGATAATTATAAAAAGTAATTAAACCAAGCTATTACATGCCTGTTAATCTTGGCATTTAAATTTTACTGCTATACTTATTGCATTAAGTATTTAAATATCACTTATACTGGTATTTTACTTTGTGCTAAAATTTCAACATACACAGAAATTTGCAATATTATTAATATATGACCAGCTTAACATCTCCATACCTGTATTCCTAATGACTTGTCCCTTACCAACATTCAGGAAAAGTGTTTGGAATCAGTGAGTGAAAGGATAAAATTGTAATGATCAAAAACAAATATAATAATATACTCTTGAATGATTCATAACTTTGATTGTATACCAAGAGAGTAAAGACTCTCTCCTTCACGTAGCAACAACCTACAGCAGTATGATAATATTTATGAAAGTTTTGAAGGTTTCAGGGATGAACTAAAACACGGTCACCTGTCAGTAATTTTCGTCTCAAGCAACCAGTTTATGAAGTCTCGGGTGGCAAGACTATCGAGAACGGTGTTCATCTCATCCGAGAAAGAGCCATCTGCGTGTCTGCGGCGGAGCTCTTCAACGATGTTGACTTCTTCTGGGAAGCTGAGAAATGGAGGGGTAAAATCAGCATTTGGTTAAACGTTTCAAAGAAATGCTTATTGGTTGCCTGTCACTGGTAACCTGTGTAAGGGTCACTGAGAAAACCATATGTTTCTATTTACAGAGGGCTTACTACAAAAAGCCTCATAGAAACTTGAATGACAGATAGGGAATTAGGTAGACAAGTGCAGAGCCAGGGCCTGAAACAAAGCCCTTTTCTGTATTCCAGCTGCTTCTAAGAGTTTAGTGTATTGTCAACATAGAACTTATTATTGAAACTATTGATTTGTCTATATTCAGAAAGTGGACAAGGCAATGGCACCCCACTCCAGTACTCTTGCCTGGAAAATCCCATGGACGGAGGAGCCTGGTAGGCTGCAGTCCATGGGGTCGTGAAGAGTCGGACTCGACTGAGCGACTTCACTTTCACTTTTCACTTTCATGCATTGGAGGAGGAAATGGCAACCCACTCCAGTGTTCTTGCCTGGAGAATCCCAGGGACAGCCGAGCCTGGTGGGCTGCTGTCTCTATGGTCGCACAGACTCGGACATGACTGAAGCGACTTAGCAGCAGCAGCAGTAGTTGCATAGTTAGAAAAATATAGTATAGCCTATAAAACTAATGATGAGCAAAAAAGCCTTGCCAAGTACAGTCTTAAGGGATTAAACCTTAGTCTATATTAGATATTTTCTCTGACTGGTTTATTTAACAGAATTTTTGGTATCTCTTTAAAACACTATAATCTCGTGTGACTATTTTCAGATTGATTTTATAAATTTTATTGCTGCTGTTTTAAAAATCAGTGACAATACTAGTTCCCTTTTGTCTTGAGAGTTCCTTAAAGTCTCAATACGCTTATTGAAAATCTCACTAAAGACATCCCCGATGGTCCAGCGGTTAATACTCTGTGCTTCCATCTGCAGGGGCCCTGGGTTGATCCATGGTTGACCCACATGCCATAAGGTACGGCAAAAAAACCCAAAAAACAAAAACCAAATAACTAAAGATAAAAATAGAGTGGAACATGAATTTCTTGATTTTCATAAATCAAAGTCAATCAAAATGGTCACAAGAAAATGAGACAGTCTCTTTGGTCGGTGGGTGTGTTTGGCTGTGATAAGATGCAAGGAAGTACTTAAAGGTCTTAGGCTCATTTTCAACCATAATAATTTAATGATTACCTCTATGGTAGTCTCATAAAAAAATGGATACATCGTTAAATAGACTAATGTTTCCACACATCTTTGTTTTGAATGTCATTTCATTAAACATCTTTAGTTCCTTCCTGTCTTCATCACATTTTTACCTGAATACTTACTAACACATAAACTATGTAAATATTTAAAATGAAACTAAGTTTTCAGCATTATTTCTTCTCTTCCCTTATCCCTAGTTTTCCAGGACAGTCCTAGTTTAAGCTTATTTTCCTGGTGTAGTTATCAGAAGCACTCTGTTTATCTTCAAAAGTATCCTGGACTGGCAAATTAATACCTTTTAATACAACTAATACTGGGGGATAAATAGTAACCTGTGTGACGCTATCATTAATACTTGCTCTGAAAGACAGAAGAGATGAAACTTTTGTAAACTATCTCCCACCAACAGGAGTTATTTCCTTACTTTGTGAGGCTATATTAATGGCTTCATAATGCAGATCCATTTATGGATAACTGTAATCTAAGTTTTCAGCATCAAGCAAAAAAAAAAAAAAAAAATTAAATAAGAATGTACAGACTTACTCTCGCCTTCCTCGGCCTTTCACCAGCCAAGCAATGAATTCCTTGGCAGCTTGGCCTTCCAAATAAGAACTTACATCACTGGTAAAGGTCCCTTCAGCATGTCTCTCAAATTCATCATGACGTTTGGCAATGTTATTCCTGAAAGAAATGTGAAAGTTAAATTGAAGATCTGTCTCTTTAGCAATATGGTTCTCACCTATAAGCAATGGCAGCTTCGGGTTCTGGATTCTGTGTGTAGGGGGCTTAGAGGGAGAGTTGGGGAGATGAGGGTGTGTAGCGGACTCATCAGAAAGCTGCGTTAATTATCGGGAGTGAAGGCTGATGGGGGCAGTCTAATGACAATTAAGGGAGGCTAAGCTCCCTTGCTCCACCCAGTGATCCATTTTCACCTCTTCTGCTTCTCTGTGTCATTAATTCTTAAAGCTGCCCTTACTTCAGTCCAAAAGCATGAGGGCTAGCTACCGTGCCATGCCACTTGCAAACAAAGCAGCCGCTTGTCATTTGTACACATGTGGTCATGTGTGCATGCTTGGTTGCTCACTTTGTGACCCCATGGACGTAGCCTGCCAGGCTCCACTGTCCATGGGATTTTCCAGGCAGGAATACAGGAGTGTATTTCTATTTCCTACCCCGACACATGGGGTCAGAATTAGTTTATTGAATCAAAGGAAAGTAAAGGAGTGTCACAAAATGTCATTGAAATGACCACAGGATAATGGATTAAAGGAAATGTGTGATGGGCTAGCAGTGAGGAAAGCCAAGAAAATGACCCTACATCACCCTCAGGTGTGTACAGAATGCCCCATGGAAGGGGTTGACCAGAAAGATGGTCAGTTGCTCCATCACATATAAGCCCTGGAAGGTTTTATCTTAAACACAACAGAAACTGCCTGGAGCTAGGATTATTTTACATTCTTTCGCCAAGTTGTGGCATTGTCTCTCTAGAAATGAAGACAGTTTGCATTTTTTCAAATTTGCGATTTCTCCTGTTTCACCAATGTAGGCTCAGTAACTCGGTCATGTCTGACTCTTTGTGACCCCATGGACTGTAACTCGCCAGGGTCCTCTGTCCATGGAATTTTCCAGGCAAGATTACTAGAGTGGGTTGCCATTTCCTCCTCCAGGGGACCTGCCTGACCCAGAGACGGATCCTGCATCTCTTATGTCTCCTGCATTGGTAGGCGGATTCATTACGATTGAGCCACCTGGGAAGCCCCATCTGTAATCCTTAGCAAGAACTTCTAGTGTCTTCTTTGACTCTTCACTTTAAGAATTTTTGGTCAACAACCCTCTTTAATTCTTCTTGCTGGTTTCTCTCTCTCTCTACCCTTCTCCATTCTATCCGGACAAATATATTCCTTTTCCTGATTTTTAGATTCCTTCATCTACTTTGCATGCATAACTCCCTCCCTTTATGGGCCACCCTCCAAAGAAATTGTGAAATTCCACCATCCCTGTGAAACCCTTGTGGCTGATTTCCTCCAGTAGCCTCATACAGCAAATACCCCAACACTGTCAAAGAAATTCAACATTAAAATGTATGCCTTACGATAGGCTTGTGTTCCTATGTGCCTTCTTCTCTCTATGCTGTGCTGCTAGGCTGTAATTTTAATGTGTATCTTGGATTGTATTCTAAAAGAAAAAGACTGCATCTGTTTCCATTCCTTACCGTGATGAACTTGGCTAGAGGATACTTTGAATGTGATCATAGTCATAAGTTTGAACCCTACAAGAGAATGAATTTGCTCTTGTTTTTTGGTCAGGAATTAAATTCCTAACCTTGCAGTTTCATAAAAGTCAGCTTTCAGTTTTAAAGTAAAATGGGCAACAGAGTAAATATTGCTAAGACCAAAGTTGGGAAAATTATTTAAAGTCTATGTCCCATTTGAGGGTAGATAAGAGTTTTGAAGGGGTGACGTGTGGGACATGCAAAGGCATAATACGGAGGTTACCACCACCAAGCTTAAAAAGTCATCAGAATCAAGTGAGTTTATGAGCATTATTTGATATGTATGATAACTTAAGAAAGTCAGGAAGAATTTTAGACATATGTAGGTAATACATTTGAGTGTACATTTCTGATCAGGTTCAAATTCTTACTTGTTTCTCTTGGTATTCATCAACCACTGCACGAAATCCTGGGCACGCCTGGAGTCCAGGTACTTGCTGTAGTCACTGGTGAATGTGCCCTGCGAGTGGCGCTTGTCTTCATTGATCTGATCTGGATCGCTGAGCGAGTCGGTCTGGGGAGCTGGGAATGAACTGTGAAGAACAGTGATAGGTGCAACTACATCTCTCCTCAAGAGGAGATTCACTTGAGAAGCAGCTTCTCTACAAAATATAGAACCACATGAAGCTGGAAGGCAGGTTCCCCGAACATTTTAGTTGGCAGTTCAGAAAGACCTTCATTTGCCATGGGAATCCCATGGTTTTACCAGAGTTGAATATACTCTGATTTGGAATTCTAGCAACTGATTTTTCAACTGGCTTCTCTTTTTCTGAAATAGGATTAAATAAATCTTCTTTTCAACAAATTCATTTACTCATTATGTTAATAATGCCAGAAGAGAGCAACACGCTTTGAATATTTTAAAGAGTGAAGTGTCCCAAACCATTTTTGTTTGGGCAGCAGATTTATATTCCAAATTCTGTTTTGCATATATTACTATAAAAAAGTAGCTCCATTACCTGGTTATGTGGCAGCTAATGGAAAGACAATTAAAAGTTCAGAGAAAGAAAAGAAAAAGCCCATTTGCTAATTTGAAACTATGTAGTGGATAATCCACATGCCAATAATCAACAGTTGGTTGGCATGGCTATGTAGGGAAATATTCAATATGATTAAGACTCAAAATAGAAATGAGATACTATTTTTACCTGTCAAATTAGCAAGGATTAAATACCGGGGAGGATATTGTGAGAGGAGTATTTCTATAATGCCAGTGGGAATGTGCATGTGTATTAGTTTTCTGGAAAGCAAGTTGGCAAGATATTATAAAAAATTTAAACTCATTCAAATCCTTTGACATAATTATTTTACCACTAGAAATAAATCCTCAGAAAATAGTAAGAAATGTAGGAAAAATGTTATTGGCAGGCTTTTTTAGGAAAATTTGAAGAACTCTTAAGTATTCAAAAGAGGAGGGGTAGCTAAATAAATATTGTACATTTATCAGATGAAATAATATCTAACAATTAAATATCACACATTTAATAGATATATGTAATGTTATAAAAATAGCAATACAATTCTTAGAGAAAAAATACAATGCAAAGCTGTAAATGACCTGGGATGTATTTATATACAGTACAAGCATATTGTCTATCATGAATGTGTATGTAAAATTTCTTACTAATTTTACAATGAATAGGAAACAATGTTATTTTTTAAAATAAATAAAAAGAAAAAGTTGGTATGAATAATTAAAATGATCTACCATGCAGTGTGAGTAATGAATGGACAGATAGGATCAGCCAAAGATTTCAAAGAGCTATAATTTCCCATGTATCACATTTTTCAACATTCTCCACTCCTTTGGTTATGAAATAACATACTTTTATCTATACTCCAGAAAAGCCTTTATCACATTGATACTTTAAACATTTGAAAACTGTGCAGGGCATTTATTCCAAATTACTGAGACCTATTTACTAGTCAGTTATCTTGGGCTGTATTATAAGCATAGTGCTATGTTAGTTCAAATCTAAAGATTTAATACCTGGATTTCTCCTCTGTGTCCTGAAGGGAACGTTGCCAGCTGCCTTGTACCAGCATCACAAACAATCCAGCCACAAAGTAAAGGCTTTTCATTTTTGCTGCCTGTTTAAACACAGAGTCAGAGGACATATAAAGACACTCAACCATATTTAATAATGTCAGGTGAATTAGTTCAGTTTTGACGAAGTAAATATTGAGAGTAGAAAGAAAAAACTAGTCATCAATTTTATTTTTATTATATTTTTAGCTTAATTTAAAATATTATAATATGTTTTTCTTGAAGGGTTTTTTTTTTGTGGCTAAAAAGAATACAAAAGATGTGTAGCACTATGGAGCTTTTTCATTAGTGTAGGATACTTCTGTTAATAATTGGAAGGCTCATTTCCAGACTTGAAATTAAAAATGTCCATGATAAACATTGAAAATACCCACTGTAGATGATATGCTACATATGGTTAGCTTGAATGGCACCTTATCCATGATCCCACCCTCTTCACTATCAGTCTGGCTTTCAATTAATAGTCCTTCACTTCCAAGCGTTTACATTATACTGCATTTCAACCATCTTAAAGCAGCCTCAGGCTACAACTTGGCATACCAGCTGTCGGTTCAGATGTATTATTCATTTATATTTTAAATAGTGTAACTTGGTCTAGACTTTGTAATTATAAAGCGGCCAACAGATTTGAGGTATTTTAGGGTGCTTTGACCTGTTCTAAATTAAAGGAAAAAAATCATTTTAAAGACAAGCAATTTGCAACAAGAACTAATGCTTCTGGCAACTTGAACAATCACAACTAAGAAACTAAGAGATCACTGTCATAAAGAAAATTAATGCTTGCTTCTGAAGTCTTGGAAGTCCCCAGGTTGTTTTATAATTGGACTGAGTCCAGGATATGTCATTCAATGCTAGTGACACCCTAGACCATGTTGCAAGATACCTTGCATCATAAGCAGATGCCCTGTGAGGCCATAGGATGCCAAGGACATGATGAGGTACTGTGGATGGGGTGGGGTGGAACCAGCATGAGTGTGGGGCAGAATGACCCCACAGGACAAGCACCTCTACTTTCTGAATGAAAACCTCAAGTCCAGTGTTTGTTGTAAACTTCCCTCTGCTTCTTTCAAGTCCGACCATATTTACTTTGAGAAGTGGGGATTTCAATCCAAGTTTGATTATGCTTATTTGCTTATTTGTTAAAAATTTGACTGAGTATTTTTAGCAAATGGCATTTGGTTTGAAATGAGTATTTTACAAATATTATCATTTTAAACTATCAACCTTGTCTTTAACATCTTAGCCATACTTCCTATCTTTCTTTGGCATTAAAACATGAGGACTGTAAATACCTGTAGTGGTATTTTTATTTTTCCTTTGAAATGTTGCGTTTTAGATTCAATGATCAGTTAGATAAAGCAACACAATAGGCATTACATGTTCATCCTTTATTCACCAATATTCAATTACTAATTTGGTGTGCTTCTATGCTTCAGTTTATACAGTTGGCAAACTTTGGAAACCTTGCCAGATATATAGGCAGGGTCTTTGATTGCAATTTATATAATTATAAATTCATATTTTCAGAAACATAAAAAATTAAAGCAAACATTCCTCTTTAGGATTACATCATTGTTGGAAAGTCAACTGAAAACTATAATTGCTTTCATGTAATGTCCCTAAAGGTTTTTACAATATCTTCTATTATATCCTCTGGAGACAGATATGGAGCAGGTAGTTTCTGGGAGAGCTGGTATAAGAAACAACCATACAGAAGTCAGTGTTTGAAGTCCTCCTGAGGCAGTAGAATATTTCTATTCAAATAAGTAACTGATTTTTGAAACTTTATTTATTCACTGTGTAAAAGTCGACAGAATTGTGAAATATTTAAGAATAAGGATTTTTGAATACTGCTACTTGAGAAAGCAAACATTTGCATCATTTTGGTTTCAAAATCTCCTTCAGTAAGGAGAAACTTTCCAATTACTCTCCCACCCCTGCTTTAGCCTACAGAGAGAGTCTGCAGTTTAATAAAACCTATATATTTCCACTCAAATTTAAAAGGAGATGTGGTACCAATCTTATTTCCTAAATAGGAAGTCTTTTGCAAAGATTAATCTTTGATCTAGGCAAGGTGACATATATTATATAGTATATCCCTAAGTATACTGGTGCCATAGGCCAAATAAATTCTTTTAAAACTGGCTAGATAATTTCTTCTCACAGGTATTAATTAGGATGTGTGGAAGAAGACACACCACATGGAACTTCCCTGGTGGTCCAGTGGTTAAGACACTGTGCTCTGAATACAGGGGCCATAGATTCGATCCCTGGTTGGGAAACTAAGATCCTGAATCCGATGGGGAGAGGTGAAAACCAACAAACACAAAAAACACCATGAAATCATTTTCTCACTGAAGATCTTTGTAAAGTTGTTCCTTGTCCTTAAGAGCTTAAATAGGTACTTTAGAACATCTGATTTTTTTTCTTAAGGTATTTACTAAAATTTCATTTTGGAATGCAGACATTTTAGATTGTTTATTACTATTGGTCCCCAAAACATAGTAATTATTAATCTGTGCTTTTACTCAGCTCCATCCACAGAATTCCCAATAATTGATGACATTTCTTCTCTGCCCTAAATACGCTATGTCTTATCTACAAAGAACTGATTTCATGGACTTTGATTTTTTGATAGCCTTATCAGAAATTTGAATATTTGAATGATGCTGTTGATTCTGCTCTTCTGGAAAACCATACGTTTTCACTGGTAAGGATCAATTACTATTATAACCTCTCTAATGGGCACATTTCTGCTGTTTAAAAGGCGCCTTCTGTTCAAAATAGTATAAACATTTATCGAATCCAAAGAAAAATATTTGTTTTTCAAAATGTCACCACTGATTTTTAAAATGCAATTTTCATTACTTAAATTTTGTAATAAGTGTCTTGATTTGAATCTTTGTTTTTCTTTCTATCTCATATCTTTTCATTGAATTATTTCTTTGACTCGCTTCATTTCAATTCTGCCCCGCGTATTATAATAACAAAGAATAAGTTGAAAAAACAGCACTTTAATTCATAATACTTCGCCCCCTTACAAACACTTCACTGTACCCTAAACAGAATGTACCATCTTACAATCACTCATTATTAATCTTACCTTCTGACACCAGGAGGTGGAACAGAGCAGGTGGAGAGAGTGAGCCCTCCTTTGGGTGTGCAGTGTCCTGAGTTCTGTAGTTGTGCACCAAAGCTCGCTGCCTTTATATACTCTCCAGCGGTGTTGAGCCTTGCAGATATTACGCTGACAATATAAATTTTTCATCTGTGAATAATGGGTTTTTGTTACAAACGATTTCACTCACCCACTCACTTTGCTCATCTGCATAATAAGCCTATATTGGGTGGGAACTCGGAGACCAGGAAACTTTTTATTTACTCTTGCTTTTTTTTTTTTTTGGTTGAGAATGGAAAGGGAAGTTTGGAAATTCACCTTCACTCTTGATCAGGGATGAAAATCAATTAAGTACTCTGATATGAATTTTTATGTTGTAGACAAAAGAATGTGAAATTATATAGTCCATGGCCAACATTCTTTAAGCATAGCCTTATTTGAGGGTCTTATAAGCCCTTCTTTGCTATTTAGTTATAATGAATTTATCTTAATAGAATAATCAATTCATTCTTTCATCTATCCAAATAATAAATCACTCACTCAAAACATTAGGGATCTTCTCATCAACACTATATGAAATTAATTTGTATTATTTTGGTGAGAAATTTTAAAGAGTATCAATTAAGACTTTTCAATTAAGAATACCAATTAAGACTGTTGTTTAAAATGGGATTCAGGAAGAAAAGATAAAACAAAGTGAGGATTAAACATCCAAGATGGGTCATGCTAATAAGACAAGGTCTAATATTTCTTTTTTCTTCCAGTGCATATTTAAAGGCTAACTCTATTGATAAGAGAGCTGGACACTAATTTTCAAAAGAATGAGTTACTACATATATGTCATATTACTGAGCTTTGTGATCTGCCACTTAAGATTTCAATGATCTATGGGATTTAGCAGATAAGAGTCTGATCACCTTAGAGAAATGGGAAAATGGGAAATGATCTGGACAGACAGCATGAGCCAGTGTTAGTGTAATTAGATTTTAGTCTGGCTGCTATCAATAAGCTGTGTGGCCTCAGTCAAGTCACATACTCTGTTTATGCTTCAGCTTCCTGTTCAGAAGTGAGAGTGTTGTTGATTAATCAATCTTCTAAACTAAAAATTTGCTTTCATTCAAAAAAAGCCTTGCAACCTTTGCTAACTAGATTCCGACACTCTTAATATAATCAATGGCATGATGAAACTTGGACAGAAGTAAATCAGAGACAACTATAGAAATATTCCCAATGAACTTAAACAGTTCCCTTTGTGGATTGGACCCACTGTTGCATGTAGAGCTGTTTAAACACCATAAGAGATCAGTTTTTTGTGAAATTAGGTAACCTCAGGAAGGGGTATTCGTGCTGGTAATTTCTGGTGGTATATCATTAATGTTAGCTTTGCCATTAGAAGTGTGGTCCAAGCATCAGTATAACCTGGGAGTTTGCCAGAAATGCAGACTCTCAGGCCCAAGCCCAGACTTACCGAGTAATTTGTATTTTACCAAGCTTCCCAGGCGATTCATCATGCCTGTTAAAGTTTGAGAAGCACGACTGTATAAAATACCTATCTCATTTCCTTCGCCTTCTCCCTGGGCTTGCTGGAGTTTTGACCTGAGGACTCCTTTCACCAGCAGAGGGGGTGAAAGAGCAGAGAACTGCGGCACACCTCAGGGCCGGCTGGATCATCACCGATACATGCTGTAATGACTTGAAAGTGTGGATTAGTTTGACATAGGAGCAAATTGTTCTTCCCTCTGGCCTCAATCCTCATGAGTGTATCGGCTATATTTGTCTTAAATTGCTTGACATTCAGTTTTATTTTTTTCCCTTTGCCTCTTTGAATAGAGGTTTCTTACCCTCTTTCTGTCTCTGTCAGTCCGTCTGTCTCTCTTTCCTTTGCAGATGCTATTTGTTTGTGGGAGCAGCCCTAGG